AACTTCACACAGCTCCAAGTATGCCACTGGGTAATTAGTGACTATCCACTGATTCAGATTTAGAGAGTGTACATATATGCATTTTTTATAAATTTCTCATAAATTTTTCTAGGAAAAATGATTTATACGAAATTATGTACACATAATTTAAGATAGAAAATATAAGTTTAGATGAATAACAAATTTATAATAAATTTTAAATAATCTTTTTAGATTTAAAAAAATGTACACATACATATTCTGCGTTGTGTATAATTTTAATTTTCGAACAAATCGAATTCAAAACGTTTTGTTCTTTTGCGTATAGCACGATTATCGTTGAAATTCTGCTGAAAATGCTTAATGATCCGGATGTTCAGTAGAGCGGGCGTTCAATACCTTTTGAATAGTGACCATGGCATCTGGTTATAATTAATGCACGATCAATTAATTTCGTCCCTTGTTTTACGCCGTCAACGACAAATTTACCGGATCATCGTCGCGTGGCCAGCAAATTTACGCGTTTTATCGTACGTAAAGCTGAGTGCACGCGAATCTGTTTGGAACTTCCGTAATTGGTGGCCGATATGATGGGTGGACGAAATCGCAGCGATAATTGGCGCTCACGAATCTCGTTGGGTGAGTATAATTACCTATTGGAATATATATTATGGCCATGGCACAGTTTCTTCCTAAAATTGAACATGTGTGTATTTGAAGTTTAATACCCGTGTTTTCGTTACGTATTCAGCGCTAAATGTTGCCACCCTTTCTGTTTTTGAGCTTTATTTATCGAACATGGAGACCGCATTAAACGCACATATCGGAATGAGTATAACATGAGGGCCACATCGGGCAAATGTGCAGTGCATTTAGGTTACGCTTTCATTCCTGTTTTTTTTTTAACTCGGTATCAAATTACATTATTTATTATATACGTGTGTGTGCGTGTGTGCGCGCGCGCGTTTTGTGTGTATGTGTGGAAAACAATGTAATCTGATATCAAAACATTGATAAAAGATAAATTTATTAGAGTTTTTTTATGCTTCGTTATAATAAAACACAATGTACATTTACAATATACATAATATATGCGTTTTATTAATACGCATATATTATTATGTATAAAAATTTGATAAGTTTATCTTTTTGTTATTAGGTTTTAACGCGTTCAATCATGATACATTAAAATATAGTATAATAAGGTAGTTGACCTATTAATCACCAGGGTACCAGTAATTGCCATGTTTACATATTGAAGACATACTTTAGTATTTTCAATTGATCGTGCAGTTTGATATTTTTATTCCAACAAGATATTTACAATGTAGTGTTACATTATGAAACTCGTAAGTATATGAATTCACTACAGATTAAATCAAATATGTGCAGCAACTGAGTCGATGCGTAATTTTGACCAAATGCTTCATTGTGAGGTTAAGAGACACCATTTGACATCTCGTGTGATTTGAAATATTGGCAACTTGCATGAGGTAAATTGAGCATCAAATTATACTTAAATCAAGATCGCAGTTTTACGTACACCATCACAAATTACTGTTTCGTACAAATTTCATATTTTTTTTTACGTGACGAGCACCGGTTCATCGAAGCACGTAGTTGTTCGAGTAATCGCCACACCTGTCGATTACTGAGACTAGGTGACCCGAAAAAATTCTTGTAAATAAAATAATAAT